GCTTTCCTCACCCGGCAGCTTAGGCAGCCAGCTGTGTCGGGTGGTCTCAAAAAAACGTGGGTCCCCCTCGCTCGGATCTTCCCGAAGAAGGCCGGATACGCTCAGTCCTTTGGGACGCACCCAGAAGGACTCACAAGGCTGGATCTGGGAACCATTTTTCACTGAATTCATGCAGTTCTGGCGCTAACCAACTCAAGCAGAGAAAGGTAGCTGGATACGCTTAAAAAACTGCTGTTGAAAGACCATTGCAAACCGCTGCTTGGCACTTTTGGAAGGGCGGGTTTTCCACTAACAGAGTTGCCTGATCTTTAGAATAGCCTGTGCTGTAACCTGTGTTTGTCCCCAAATTTCTAATAAAAAAAAAACCCACAAAGAAAACCTATTCCATGCAAACCTAGGTATGTTTCACATCTGTGGTAAATACCAATCATGCTCTACAACTATTCAATGGCATAGAATTAGATGTTAGTCTTAAAGGGGAACTAAATTTTCTCATTGAAAGAAAATACCGACTGGATTGATCTGTATGAAAAAGAGCTTTCAGAAGGTAAATGTACCATCTACTTGGGGAAGAAGTTGAGTTGTATGTATGTTATCAATGAAGCTAATTAGTTAAGATAAAATTAACTAAAAATAGAATATTCAAAAATTTCCCATCGGTTTCCAAAAGAGTTCTTTGAAAAGAGTTATGGTTGTTAAGCTTTCCATGTGGATTGTGGTCCAATATGGCTGAATCTGAAATGCAGAGGAGATAAACCTCAGGTGTTTCATCTGGCAGTACTGAAGTATGAGGCACCTGTCTGTTTCAGTGCTTTGCCTTTTAACTTCACTCCGACTCCTTTTGCTTTAATTTTATGGGAAAAGCAAAATACGAACAGTTAGTGGAGCTTCACTATACTGTTACATTAATGTAGTATCCTCCTATATTATACTCCATGCGGCGATGCTAAATCACCATGTTACTGTCATTCCATCAAGAAAAACAAATAAAACAAACCAAATCAGAAAATGCACACACAAACAAGGAAATGGGGAAAAACTGAGTAAAATTCAAGCTGCCATCTGCATTTCCCAACATCCATGAATGGTGACATTCAAATTATTTAAAAAACTGAAAGCTCCCCTTCACACCTCGTTTCTAAAATATTTAAGATGATGCAGTGTGAGCAGTCGTTTTTTGCCGATTGAATCCTGTATACACTTTGCTACACTTCCTCGGGGAATTACTCGGCTTCCTTTTGCTGTCCCAGCCCTGTGTTAAGAGCTCTATCTTTGGGAGAGAGGATACAACTCAACCTTTAAATCTCATTTTTGACACAGAAATAGTTTATGCTGATATCGGTTAGAGACTTAACCAGTTCTTGAACTGAGACTCGTGAGGTACTTGTTTTTCACATGAAAAGGTGAATGTCCAGCAGGCAATTTTGACAATACTGACCTAGTGGGGACTTGAACTAAGAGAATGGAAATAGTGGACTTATATTAGAGCCACAAATTCAAAATATATGGGATTGATATCTTTTTACTTCTCTTTTTTATTTATTGATCAATGGATTGAAATACTGCTTGGGTCGACTAGCCACAAATAGCTGCGTACCTATTTGGAAAGAAAATTAATTTGAAAGGATAGCAGCAAACTCCATCATCTGCAGAGCAAACAAAATTCTAATTGATGGGTTAAGTGAATATGCCTTACGGGACTATGCAGACGTTTAAACAAAGATGTGTATAAAAGATCAATACCATTTTCTTCTTCATAAGATACGAAATGTAATGTCTTGCTCATCAGAATACAGAGTTCCCTAATAGGTCTGAGTATTAATCTATTGGATCATTGCATCATGAGTTTAAGACCCCTTAAGCAACTGGAAACAATTCTCCCCATTCAAGACAGCTGAATATGTCGAGCGGTGGAAATGCGAAGACAGAATTGGCAGAGATCACAAAGGCAGGATATGCTCCTCTATTACTCGCCTAACTGGAATGCACTCCCTTTTCAAAGATTAAAGTATTGACAGAAAAGAGGCTCTCTGTATCGGAAGATTAAAGCAAAAAGTTGCATCAACTACTTGAAACTCGCATTGAAAGAACTTCTCTCTTTCAGAGATGCCAGTCATTCATTGCAGTGATGATGTTGCGATCAATACTCTATTAAGCATTAAAATAAATAGTTTAATAAGTAGTTTAAGTAATAAAGTTACTCAAGACAGTTTATTTTCAGTGTCTTATTTCTCCCAGGAAAACATTTGTGCTCTCAAGAATCAGAAAACTAATGAACACAGTAAAGGGATTAAATGTACATTGAGAGCTGACCTTTCATTAAGTCTCCAAATACTCAACCCTAACTGATACATTCAATTTAGCAAGGTAGTTCTGAAGGCAATTAGATACAGTATTTAAGCCCCAGAAGTCATGACTGGGTAGCAAAAGTTAAGGAAGCAAATAGTTCCGGCCTTCGAGGCAAACGTGAAAAAGGCAGTATTAATAAAAGACTTCAAAACGATGCCCATAGGTACCAACTAAAATATGGCAACTAGTGATAGAAACTGAAAAAAACGTTTATATTACATAATTGATATACATGTGTGCATGTAAAATTAATTACATTTACTTTTGAATGTCTGGGAAATCATCTTTACTACTTTTCTACACAGAGAAGATATGTTTAGACTAAAGCTGGACACTAGTGTGTGCGACATAAAAGAGAGATGGTCTTGTATAATGTGCTGCACCAGGGCTACAAGGACACTTTGAAACCTTTACCAATTCTGAACAAGGTCTGGCCTTTCCTTCAGGAAATGCTGGGTAAGTTTAATTTGACTTAAGTTGTATTTACTTGCGATCAAAAGCATTTCAGATACCTTTTGGCCTTTGGAATACAGTGGGAGTAGCACAGCTGTGTTTTGAGCTATTAATGCCATCCCTCATGGAACCGAACCTCTTCCTACTAACAGCTTAAACAAAACAAATAATAGATACAGAGTATTACTAAAACCTGAAGAGGGCAATAATGGAAAATACAGTCAGTGAGTGTAAGAAAGTTTGGTTTATACTTCTTTCTGATGCACAGTCAGATACTCTCACGTTAAGTCTTTTCTACATTGCGTGGCCCCTTTTTGCCCTATGGACCACACTACACAAGGCAGCAGCATGAAATAGTGGTCCTTAGCAAAAGACGCCTACCAGGATTGTGAGAGATACACCAACAGTTTCCACCTTAGACAGGAAGGTCTTAAATTCTTATAACAAAAAGAATGCAATACTTTAATTTTTCTCTTTCTCACACCTTTTTCATCATTAAGCTATTAGGGCTTCTACAGTTCAAAACCATATACCCAGTGTTGACTAGCACTGCTGTGAAGTACACAGCATGCCATGTGCACACATCACAAATCTGGAGTTGTCCAGCAAAGCCTTCTACTTGCACATTACTAAGAAACTTTTTTTTCTCACCTTGTTGAGGTCTGTGGTTTGTTCCAAGGAGTATTTTGAGTGGTTCTAACCTGAATAAAGTCTGTTATCCAATGTACCTGCTATGACGGACATTCACCTTTCTGTGGACGAGAGCTTTTCTATAGCTTTTCACGCTTTTCTGTAGACTGCAATGCCTGCCAGAACAACTTACGAACAAAAGACAAAACATTCATTCAGTTTGGCTGCAAGTAATTCCTGTAACCTGTGTAAACACATGAATAAAGGGGCTCGTTGCGTCTCACATAAGGAGAGATTACATGAATAAAGCTAAAGTTCAAGCCCCTCTAAATACGTTATAAAAAGAATAATTGGTAGTCAACACTGAAATTAAACATTGGGTCAGTGGTATTTTTGGCATATCTGTAATACAGTATCTGCTTCTAGTAAAACTATATTAGGAGATAAAATTATATCTGGATGTAATTTTATTTTTGTTCCTTAGCACAGGGATCTCTTTAGCGTTTTCACTATGTTCCACAAAGTGCCAGTAGTGGCACATTAGATAAACATTTTAAGCTTGCCCAGTACTAGCTATCTCACCTATTGCCAATAAAGTTTTCCAGCAACAAGTTTTCCTAGCATAGATGAGTTTTAATGTGACCTGGAAAGTTTCTAGCTTTTTAAAATTATCTTGTGGGGTTTTGCATCTTCAGAAAGTCTAGAGAGATTCTATTGGAAGAGATTCTTAAATGAGAAACATGAAGCCTAGTCTTTACTGCCAATGTACCCTCCTGCAGTTATTCAAATTAACGTAATGCTATTATTTTACTAGTTGTCTTTGAGAAGGTAGTTTACTAGTTATCCCTAATAAGGTAGTTAGATAAAACCTGGGATTTCTATGAATGAAATTTTAAGTAACAATAAAAAACTTACATATGCCTTAAAAAAGGACAAAAACTTAGATATAGAAGAGCATGTTCTTTTGGACGTCATCTTAGAAGGGAAGTGAAACTAAAGAACTGGGAAAATAGAGAAGGGAAGAAAATCCATGCAAATTTTACATTTTCCTATGCTGACTTAATATACTCATATACTAATACACTTGCTTTGTCCTTATGTAAAGTCAAGTTAGGTTTTTTGTTTGGTTGCTTTTTTTTATTGGTTTTTTGTTTGTTTGTTTGTTTTTTAAAGAACTTTACTCCAACTCATGCTTCCATACTCTCTAAAATGTGTTCTCATATGTAATTCTCTACAGTAACTGTAGATGGTGATCATAATCAACTTTCACGTTTCAGAACAAATGGTAACTGAAAGGACAGTGCAGTGGAAGTCAGAACTTTCAGAGTACTTCAGTGTCATGCATTTTTGAATTCCAGCATTTTAAGACTACTGACAAGCACAAAAGGCAAAAAGTTCCTTGAAAAGGGAAGAGACAATGATATGAAAATGGTAAGATTGTTATTTAATTACCCTTAAAGTACTGAACTTACTTGAGAATGCAGCACATCATCATACAGTGCATTACAGCAAACAAGATTCTAAATGGTCTCAATTAACACAAAGCAGAAAAATCTATACACTAAAATTATCTCAATGTGATAGACATTTTAAAAAGTTGCAATAATTATTAGAAAGCTTTCAATAAAAAGTTTAAACACATTTAAGTTTCAAAAGATATTTTGTACATTTTGGAAAAATATAACATTTACTTTACATAACTGAAACATAAGTTATATTCTTTGTAGTTTGTAAGCCTCCATTATTCATACATTCTCTCATACATTTTCTTTTAATACATCCTTTTCTCTGGATTGTAAATCTAATGCAAAAGTATCACTATTCTGAAGAAAAGCTTGTTTCTGCATTAGTTTCCTGAAAAGTCCATTTGGATTTGCAAGTAGTTCCTCATGTTTTCCACATTCAAGAATTTTACCCTGGCCAAGGACTGCAACAAAATCAGCATTCTGAATAGTAGACAGACGATGAGCAATAATTAGGACTGTCCTCCCTTCCATCAGCCGCTCCAGAGCTTCTTGCACTAGATATTCATTTTCAGCATCCAAAGCACTAGTAAGAAATGGGAAGCAGGGAGGGGAGAGAGGAGGATATTTGTTATTTTAAAGACAAGTTTTGTATGCATTAGGCTTATTTTGCTAAAATTGCAAACCCTTGCTATTGTTGGTGAAGATGAACCAATCGAACTGCAGGGAAATTTCGTGAATATGCTTAGTGTACACATCCAAGTTACAGGTATTACATATTCTCAAATGCAAAAATATGCATGGAGAAATACTAAGATCTTCATTTAAACTAAAGATACAAAAAAGCTTTAAGTTAAGATGTTTCAAAATCAAGCTACATATTACAAATTTAACTCCATGAAAAATTACAACACAGTGTACCAGCTATCCTTTCCACTTTGCATAAACAGCTTTTATCACAGGTCTCCTAACCAATTCACACATTCTAAAAAGCACATTCTTTTTGTGGGTAGAGAAAAATAAGGGGCTAGATAATTTCTGCAAGGGTATGCAGAGTAAGAAAGAAGAGAGAGCACGTCACATATCTGAGTTTTACAGATAGATAATTTCTAAGTTTCTGTTTATTTTCTTTCTTACCTTGTTGCTTCATCTAACAGAAGAATTTTAGGATTCTGAAGAAGAAAGTAAAATAGGTTATAATAGCAATTAGACAAGATCTGAATATTTATATCAATAGAGAACAGGATTCATACAGCTTGAAACTCCAAGTGTACTTATTTCATCAAAAGAACTGAGTGTCATTCAAAGCATTACTTTTAAGAAGTCTAAACGCTAAGAGGACAAAACAGAAACAACGCTCTTAAAACTAAAGTAAAAGAACACTATTACCAGATCACTATTTGAAAGATACAAAGTAAAGGTGGGAGACGATTTTTAATGCATACTTGGCAGCACTGTGGTCAAAAGTTCAATTTCCTATTTACTGCTCATATGTGGATCTTTCACAGAGGCTGAGCTACCCTCTGCTTGCAGTCAGTCTGCTGTATATAACTGTCTAGTAACAAAAAATAACAAAAACCTACCAACAAGCAGTGTTTCACCCACAAATGAAATACATAGTATTTAAGAACTAGCATTAAAGAACTCTTGCCAATTAAATTAAAAAACAAAAAACAAAAAAAAATCACCAGCACTCAAATCCCTAAGAAGTCTCTTCTGATTTACAGTACATAATCCAAACTTGCTTGATGAAGTTGACAGTAAAACCTTCAGACTTTATCTGGAAGAGAAGGGACTCCACTGCACCCCCAATCACACATGTATCAACTACTCATTTATTTTTTAAAACTCTTTCTGCCCCCCCACCCCCCAAATAAAGCCTCTACTCCCATGAACTGTACTTGACATGAAATGCAATCAGCTTTTCAGCATTTGTGGTAAAAGAGAACTGGTATAATGAAAAATTCCCAGTAATCTAGCATGCTGGGAATGCTATAGAATCCCGTGCGGCTTAACATGAATATAAGCTGGGTTCAGCAAGGCTCAAAACTACCAACTGAGCCTCAGCCCCAAACTGCCTCCCTGTGAGGCCCCGTGGCTGTCCCTGAACCAAACTCCTCGTCCTTCTGATCCTCAGAAGCCTCCTCAAATTTGCACAGCATAGAGCCTGCCCTAAAACTAAACCCATGCCAACTCTTGAAGACAAAAATGACACAACATTGTGCCTGAAATAGTATCTTGTCCCAAATCCAGACCAGCTCCCCTCAAAGCCAAGACAGGGCATCTATAGTGCTAGTAAGCTGCAATCCAGAAAAATCAACCCGTGAGTGACAGAGATCTGAACACAGAGACAGAAGTGTCATATATGAGTTTACTACCACCACATTCTTAAAGTCTTCCTTCATCCTTGACCTGGTCTTATGGAAGTGAGCCATTATACAATGATATACCAGCAGTCTTGGCAAGAACTATGGAAAAACATGACTGAAAGATAGGAAGAAGCACTTACATAAGTAAATGGTCTTTAGTTAAACTACTCAGCCCTTTCAAACTTCTTCATTAATTTAAAAGATACAATTTTCATTTTAAAAACACTTTTCCACCTCTCCCGTTGAAAGGCCTCCTCCTTTTTAACTCTTCCTGCCTCCCCACAACGTGGTTAAATAGCTATTTGGGTGCTGGCTTACCTTGAGCAGAGCTCGAGCAATTGCAATTCGTTGCTTCTGTCCACCTGCGGGGAAAAGCTCAGTAAATTGAAAAAGGAAAACAAATGCGAAGTAATTTTAACTGAATGCCTGGGCTGAGCAGAATTAGGCACATGTACTTTAGGGGGGGAATAGAGATAAAGGAGGAATTTTTTTAATACTTATGGCAGGCTATGACTTGGAGAAAAAAACTGGTAACAAAAAATAATAGAATTTTTACTTCACTCTATAGTACCAAGATTTTTAAAATAAGCAGTATGAAAGATGTACCTGAAAGCAGAATGCCTTTTTCTCCAACTACAGTGTCAAACCCTTTTGGAAAATCTCTGATAAAGCTAGCAGCATTAGCTATTTCAGCAACTTTCTGAATCTCCTCTTCAGTCACAGTAGAAGGATCCTCTGCACCATAGGCAATATTTTCAGCAATAGAACAGGAGAACAGAATTGGTTCCTGATAAATTGAAAAACATAACTAATATGGTAGCTCTGTAATTACATGCATGTATTGCCTACATCTCAAATAACGTAAGTCCCACTTAAAAGACCCAGCATTAATTTCTTTTATATCCATACAAAAGAATATGTAAGCTAGAGTTAATTGAATTAAAAACAAACAAATAAAAAAACTCTCCTAACACCAAAATGGGCAGTCAAAACCAATTAAAAAATAAGTTGCTTTTTTAACTGACAAAACATGACGTAACCCTCAATTCCTAATATTTGAGGAAGAGTTCATAAAGAGCTATTCATCCAAACATCAGAAAACCTCCCCTTTTTACTTTACTACATATCATCATTTGCAACAATGATGATTCTTCTCTTAACAATGTCTACACAGATTCCATGGCATTTTGTGCATTTAATTTATATTAAAGCTTAAAACAGAGAAGAGGACTGGCAGATTGGACAAGTGATGTACAATGGGAAAACGTCTGAAACAAGGTAAGTCTGCTCTGTTTATAAAATAAAGAAGAGACATGCTATAGTATGAATACCAGTATGAATCTCCTACTGGTAACTCAAGAAGAATACATACACTGAAAAAGAAAAATACTAATGTGCCCACAAGAAAATAATTTTTGCACAAAAGCTTTTGGTGGCATTCTTACATGAAGCAGATGTTTTGAACAGTTATCCTTATGCTTTTAATCAGAACATCAACCTAACAATTAATTGCACTGTGAAGCATCTGGGGAGATGAGGGAAGGAACATACATAGTTTAATTGGTCAAATAGTTTATTTTTAAGAGGTCATTGAACATCTCTCTGTACTTCCAGAGTCTAGGGGATGCTAAGGATAGGGCACTACAAGAGTAAGCGCCAACAGTGCTGTATTTTCATGCTTTCCTAATGGAATTATGTTTGCCTGGAAACAACACAGAGCAGGTCAGTTTTCAAATGGTTGTGTAAAATATGATTGTGTAACTTCCATTAATACAAAATGTGATTAAACGTTAAGCTTTGTGTTACTTTCTTCAACAAATCATAGCAAACATCAAGATGGTCATACCTATGCAATTTGCAACAATGTACTTTCCAGTCTCCACATGCACACTTTTCTTTCAAGCTAACCTTTGAATCTCTATAATTATGTAAAAACAGACTACAGAATAATGGGACTAGCTCTGAATGCTTATTTTTAGAATAAAGCATGCACAACAGCAGTTATAGTTCAAAAGATGAAAAGCGAGGCACAGCCAGTTGATTACACAAAATTATTTCATTCACTTAGAAATTCTTTTTCTTCCTTACCTGACTCACTGTTCCAATCTTTGTCCTGAACCACAGTGGATTTAACTGACGGATATCAAAGCCATCAACGGTGATAGTACCTTAAATTAAGAAACAGTGAAGTCAAGTGTGTTTGACAAGTACTGAAAAGAAGCAGAAAGAACAGTTGAGAACAACCACCCCTGGGGAATCACATACTAGTGGATTAGAAATGCAGAGCTATGCAGGCACCACCACCAAGGTAACCATACACCCCAGAGGGAAGCGCGGTGCATCAGTGGAATAATCACATCAGGACTAGAAACACAGGAATCCTGACTGTTTATAAGGTGTATCTGAGATGCAAAGCATCAATTGTCATGAATGAGAGCAACACACAAAACATACCTGAGATAGGATCATACAGCCTCAGCAGAAGGGATACAATAGTTGATTTCCCTGTACCACTTGGGCCAACCAAAGCCATAACAGAGCCAGCTGGAATGGAAAGGCTAAAATCTTTGAAAATGGCTGTTTCTGGACGTATTGGATATGCAAACTCAACATCCTTGAATTCCAAAGCACCTCTGAATGTCTCTTTGCCTAGTATGATTCCCTCTGTATGACAAAGAATAAAATACAGAAATGTGAACAGAAACAAAAAATCAGCTCAGCCTTCCTGGAACTTGATTTACAGAGACCCAACAGAAATATCTATCTCCATGTTAAACCTGGGGATAGCTGCAAGCCACAAGTGAGGACCACAGGGGTTATATTTCAGCCATGACTGAATCTGTGGTACACCACTCATTCCTGAATGCAATTTCAGGTTGCTCACCAGCAGTGAACCTGTAGGCTACCTACAGCAAGAGGGAGAATTTGCATCTTGCTAACACCTAATAACGAACAATGCTCACTTCTAGTAGAATTATCTGAATTTTTCAACATATTATAGACAATTCAAGTTTTGTCAATTAGGAGCAATGAAATAAAATGACATTGTTAAAGGTCAAAGTCCCGTTGCCATGGAACAGATGCAAAAAGATAAACATTGCAAATCACTCACTGCCCTCTCACGGAGCCACAAAAGTCACCTGAAACACCCTCCCCTTTGGACAAGAGCAGTTCCCTCTCCACGACCTGTTAACTGCGTAGCTTTTAAGCAAAGGCTGTCACTAGAATAAAGCTGCTGCTAGGTTTGTTGCATTAATGGCCATTTTTTAGGTTTTTTTTTTTTTTAAAGTGGAAAGTATATTTAGTAAGTTCAGGACAACAGTGTATTCAAAGACCAATCAGAGGCATAACACTTGGACAACAGTTCACTGAAACTAAAATTTCAGTTTGTGAAATACCATAACAAACCATCATGAATGAATGACTGCAAAAGTTAAATAAAACCAGCTTCTTTCTGGAGCGCAGCATTTGATTTAAACAATTATCTTAAAAGACTATCAGTACTAGAAAAAGCTTATATATAGGTAAGACAAAGAAACACAATTTCTTCAAGCCCTGTTAAATCCCAGCGACACATGTCCATACAACGCAAATTAATTGGACAGTGGTGCTGCATTCCCGAAGGACAGAGTCTCACTGACGAAGTTCCTACCAGGTTTGTGAAAACTGGCTGCACCAGAGCAACACCCGAGTAGTGCTTTTTCATGCTAAAGACATGCAACTCAAAACGCTTAATTTTTTTCAGACGCAGCACGCAAGTAACTCCTAACTAGCTACAGCACATGGTAGACCACATGCACGTTTGGTTAAACAGTAACTGTGGATAGGAAACACAGATACCCATCAGTAGCAATCAAGATCTCACTAGTCCTGCTGTTCCTAGAGCAAATAATTTATTTTGTTTTTCCTTTTCCCAGATTCCCTCCTCTTCTCAGGCTTTCAGTTTAATGGTAGTAGCACAGAAATGGCAAAGGCAAGACTACACAATTTCAGACTCCTTCCTTGACTTTAATCCATGGACACACACATTGTAACTTGTTTGTTAGATAAAAGTACAATGGTCTGTAAACCTCCCTTTGGGAAAAGAAATGTATTTGCTAAATCCTGCGCTAGCCGCATAATCCTTACTGTTATCAAAGTAACAAGTAATCGCTTATCTTTATTCTCAGTTCCAGTTACTGCACAGTCTATTCCATGGCCTGAAATACTGAAATCTTCTGCAATACAGGAAGTCTGGTACCACAAGTCCTTCCTCTATATATTACTGTAAAAATATCTAAAAGCTATATACAGGATTGTGGTTGTTTCTTGTTTGAATTCTAGATACAGGAAAAAAATACATTATAGTTTGTTCCTGAGATATCTGTTGTCACCAACAACAGCTGGAGTTCCATTAAAATAAAACGTAAGTAGGCAAGAGAATAATGTTTCAGGTGGGTTTGGACAGTAGAGAAATAGTCTCTTGGTTTTATTGTCTGATGAGCCAGAAATCAACTATAATTGTTTTTTGAGACAAAGGTTTATATCCTTTCCTATGTATTTAGTTTATACTGAAAGGAAACTTAAAGAAGCTTTCTGTAAGCCTATGCTACATGGATGTCTGAAACTTCGTCCAATTTATGCTCGGTCTATAAAATAAAGATTGTTTTCTGTCACTATCGCTGTAATTGAGTAATTCAATACCTTCAGTGGGAAAGACAACTTCTGCCCCAATACTACTGCTTACTCTGCACTGGGGCCACTGTAAAGATGAAGACCGCTGAAATAATCCAGATTGAAAAAAAAAAAAAAATCACATCCAAATGATGATGAAATCAACAGTTGCACTAGGTCTGTGAAGGGCACAGCAAACTGCAGAGTGGCACTGGATAGTCAGTCATGGCAGGAAGTTTAAGCCAGCTTCATTGCTAAAGACAAGAGCATGCAGCTATCCCTTCATTAGCCAGTTGGTGGTCACCTTTTGGACAAATGGCTGCTATTCTAAGTCTGCCTCCATCCATTGTTACTTTTCACTGGCTATGTAAAGTCTATGCACTATAGATTGAAAAGCATCCTACAGAGAGGCTTGCAGCTGTGAAGAGAAATGAGACAGAGGCCAGACTGTGACTTCGTGTCCATCAGATTAAGAACTCGAGGAATTCCAGTGCAGGGAGACACAGCATTTCAAAAGAACCCCTCTGTATCAAGCAACTCGAAAGATAAAATCTATTCCCTAAAGCCAGAGCTCACTCAAAAAGTCTGTTAGGTCTGTTGGATGTTCTTTCCTGACTCTTCCTCTTACAGCAGCCCCTATAAAGTTTCTAAATTAGAGGACCATACAAAACTTAGAGGGAAACTACAGTGTTGACAGCTCACCTGGACTCTGCTATATTGCATTTCTTAACAACATACAGAGCTGGTGAAAACTCATGTATGACTTTTGCTTAGTGGGATGCAGCTGATTAAATAAAACGGCAACTCACACAGAAAGTATTTTCTACAAGCAGCTCACTGAACTACTTTGATTTGAGACAGGCAAATGCTGTTTATACAAAATACACTCAATATCGGAGGGCGCTGTCTAGCTTCCGAACAATAAAGCTGTAAATAAGGTGTTGCTGGCAATGTATTTTTATTCACTGTATTTAAATATTATTAAATATTCTGAATTAAAGGAAAAAACCCACCAAATTTTCAGCTTCTAAAACTTCCGATTAAAGGAAATCTTCATCATCTGTTTCATAGTTAGGAAAAGTCAGAAGAATTACCACCGCATCTAGGGTTTTTTTTTCAAAAGAATGTAAGTTGGTACTACCTTTAAGTATTACACACCTCTTTCTGAAGAGAAAAATCAACCTCTGAACAATAACAAACCAAGGACCCACCATTAAATGGAAGTTGGGGCTTCCTTTCAATAAGTTCCCATAGACGTCCACCGGCACCTAGTCCTTTCATTAGTTCGGAATAAAAGGAACTTAGACCTAAACAAAAAGCAGACAAGTATTATGCATTCATATGGAATGGAAGACATAGGAGACATTAAATTTGCATTATATTTTTCATCACCAGCATTGAAGCATCAGACGTGTAGATGATCTTTTATTCCAACACACTATCAGACATGTTGATTTAAATCCTATCTAGTCTCACTTCAGAGCTACCAATAACCCTTATTGACCATTCTTATTTATATCTGTAAAACAAATCATTCTGAAGAAAAAAACAGAAAAAGTTAATACACATAAGCTTGCGTATACTCAAAAGCAAAGCAACTCTTTTTCATTCATCTGTCAGGAGGAACAGCATCCAACTTTACAGAAATAGCCTTGCATATAACCAGCTATATTTTCAAAATCATTCAGTAGAACGCAGCACTCTGAACACCCTTCTTTGTCAGATAGGGTTATACTACTGTAGGAGAGCCTGGCTGAGTCAGCCAGAGGGGTGGGAAGGCTCAAAACCTAACGCTCAACTGACACTTGAGAAGCTATGTGGAGAATGGACATAGGTAAAGAAATATGTCTCCCAAGCCAGTGTGCTTCAAACATTACTGGAGAAGCAAAAGCTAAAGACAAGGCTTGCATATAGTACTGGGTTCCAGCTCTTGGCAGCTGTGTGAACCATCTTGGAGCTGGCATGGCTGAAGGGCTTTCCAGCTGAAATAAACACAAAAAACAACCTAGAACCAAAAATGGAGTAAGACATAGAATCATAGAATGTCTTATTTCTTCATTTTTTCTGTGTCTTTCAAAATAGAGTAACCAATTTCAAAATCTCTGAATTCCAACAGAAAAAACATACAAAATAAACCCTTCCACCTTACATGCATATAGTGTTAAGAGTGATTTCAGGAGGGCAGAAAACCCAAGGTATATTGAAATAGGTTTACTGGTTTATTCTTGCAGAGCAACAAGCCCAGCACAAGGTCATCAGTCTGTAAGTGTAGACAGGGCATTTCATCATGCTGCTGCTGAGGACTATCTGAAAGCTTGCAACACAAGGCACTAGCCATGATGAGAAGCTGTCTGCTTGGAAAAAAGAGCCAAAGCATCTACATCCTAGAGTAGGGCACAGGGGAGAAGGCATGAGCCTCACAGAGCGCCTTGAAACTGAGACACTGAGGTTTGCAAATTCACAACCACTCATAAAAAAACATTATATAATATGGACAGCAAATACTAATTAGAAAATGTTTTTAATTTTAATAATCTGTCTTCGGTATTTGGTAGAAAACACAGAAAACTGTTACAACAAAAAGAGGCAAAGTTCCAAATTACACAATGAACTTCACAGTTCATTGCATGAACTCCTATATGTATTGATGATGACATATACCGAGCAGACTTAGCACTTTGAAGACTTATATGCTTTGTAGGTGTCAAGGAAGGCAGGCCTCTTGTGGCAAGGCACCTTTACTTCAGAGTCCCCATGAGAATGAGCTCTGTGCAGAACTATATTCTCCAATAATCTCAAGAAGAATTTAAAAAGATGTTTTTATCACAAATAGAAGTTAATTCAATGACATTTTATCAGTGTTTCTAACATTATTTTTCTTTTATTTAACATTAATTTGTCTCATGTTTTCAAAGTGCCAGGTATCTGTCTGTTGACCAAACTTGAATGATTTAAGCAGAGAAGAAAGGGTTTTGGTAGTTGGAATGGGTGCCACTGGAATTTTGATATCCAAGGAAGCAGGTTTTGTGAATTTTGCCCTCAGGCACATCTTTGTGCTTCCCACAATACCAGGCTTAGTCTTAGAAAAGAAGAGTATAGACGAGCTGCATTGCCCTGCCGGTCTGTCAGAAGTAACAGACTCATTTTAAAGAAGAACCCTTCCAATCAGTTGTCAAACTTCAAAGTACCTTATCTTCATTTTTGCCTGTATGCAGTAGTGAAGACTGCTTTGCCAAAAAGATGAACAGTTTGTTTCTGGGCCAGTAGATTACAAAGTCTGAGCTTCAAGGAGTCATCAGTCAGTAAGGAAAAACAAAAGGTTAGCACCAGAGTGTAGTGTTCTGCTGGCACTTTGTTTACTCTTCCAGCTCAAGACACTCATACTGAATTATAGCTAAATTCTACATGCCTTTCTAAATAGAGTATGTTTAACACAGACCCACATATTCTGTAAAAAATGTAATACCAGTACAATTTCTTTACACAACATACCAAGTATCTTAATTTAGACCTAAAGAAAATTAAAGTAATATGTATCTGTCACATACACACATTGAAAAAATAACCTCTGTATTCCTTTGGGAAAATGGAAGGCTCATATTTAGTTATAAACTATTATTTTCATTAACTCTTCAGAAAAAAATTATGTATGATTTCTTGGGACAATCATTTGGAAAAGACTTTTTAAGAAAGCCAGATCTTTTAAGAGCTTCTTCCTTCCCGCCCCCATACTGACTGTAATGCTTTGAAGTGAAGAAAACCTAATTTCTCATTCCATACCTCCAATGCTTATTCCAACCCAGAAGGCATACATTAGGAAAGATGAGAGTTCACCAACTGTCATGTAGGCACTGCCCATTAGTAATCCTCCTTTGTATAAGACTGAGAGGACAATTAAGTTTCCAGAAAGGCCAGTCTAAGGAAAAAGAAAAAGAGGAAAAGGCAGATTTTGTCACATACATCTTAAACTTCATCCTCTAAAATGTTGTTTCAGATTTTACCTTCTAATAAAAGAATTCCCATACTATGGGTATCTAGATTTTTAGAGGACTGAGTTAAGTTTGAACAAAACCAGTTCTAAAGCAAATCAAGCCAACAGCCAGCTAGACACTCAGTGGCACTGCACTTTGCTAGCCAACAAGTGTTCAAAAAGCAAGCAACTCTTTTTTTTTTTTTTTTTTTACCTCATTCCCCAAGACGGAAAGGAACACCAAACATTATTCTCAATCATCATTAAAGGAGAAGAGTTGATAGTCTGCAGTTACGTTGCAGTTTTAGAATATCATTAAGCAAACTCATTTCTCCATAACAGCTTGCAGTGCAATCCCACTCTCCCTCCCCCACCTCTGCACTCCCCAGCTTCCTTTGCATTAATGCTCACCTCATCAGGAAGCCAAACTTGTAAAATGCTAAGGGTGGGGGAAGGTTTCCACTGGTTTCATTCCCTGAATAGGAGGTATAGGCTCAGATAAATAGTACAAAGCTATGGGGTGTGGGGCAGAAATAGAGACTTAAACCAGCTTTATCATACCGCTGTATCTTGAGGTGCAGTTTCACAGCAATTTAGACTGATTTAAGTCCAGTATTCCCACAGTTTCATGTAGGTTCAATTTACACTCAAATTATTTATTTGCAGATTTATAACCATCCTCATGAATTTTAAAATAATTGACACTTGCCATAACACGGTTGGTTTACTTTCATCAAAATACACTTACTGCTCCAAAGAAGCCTGCCCGAGCTAGTGCCTCTTTTTTAGCCAGCTGTAGCACATAATCAGCTTTATTTGTATACTTCTCCATTTCAGCCACTTCTTGCCCAAAAGCTCGAACAGTTCTTATGTTTCCAATACGCTCTTCAGCTAACTACATTAAAGCAAAGAACAAAACAAATACACACAGACACACAGTTTGGAATGTTCATATTACAGAACATTTGAAAGTTAAACCAGTATCACTACACTATTCTCCAAATACATTCCTTTGGATACCACTGGAAAATTTCTCATGCCCTCCTCCCCCCACCCCCCCTTACTGCACGCCCAGGCAGTTTAAAAAGAACTTCAAGATGGACTTGACTTAAGTGTTAGCAGAGAAAGAAAAATATAAAATTAGGGTTAAAAAAACCCCTTAATTTGATGTGAACAACACACATAAGAAAATTACTATTCACAATAACTTGCAATAACAACGTGGGAAAGGGAAAAATAAAGAATATTCTATTCTACGCTAAATCATGCAAGAAAGCCTGCAGTTATTTCCTGAAACAATTCCACTCATTTGATCAAAGCAACACTGGGAATTAATTTAGTTCAACTACTAATATCCCATGTCAACTCAGTATTTTGTTTTAACTTCTAAACAGCAAAGTATTAATTCTAAAATTACCTCAGTTGTAACCAATTACACTAAGTTGTTAATGGACACTGTGATGGTCTTACAAAAAACAGGGCCCCCTTTTGTAAGTAAAAATATGATATAAAAATGTAATTCTTTTTCCTTCATCCCCCATTCAACCTAAAAATTTGAATGGAACACTAAAATTGCTTGTTCATGTGAAGTCCCACACCTGGTTTACAAAGGCATGAGCTTCCGTTCAACACAGGATGAGGAAGATAAACAGAAGAGGGCTAATATTCCTTCTGCACAGTCAATTTGCGTAAGTCCTACATAGGACATCCCACAGAGACAACTGTGGCTATTTAACTATGTCGTTCCTAATTATATTTCTATGCATTTTAATGATGTTTCCCCACCCTCAGCCTGTGAGAAAAAGGTCACTATCACTACTAATTCTCTGATAGTGCTTTGCAATATTTCATTGCAGTCAGCAAACACAATGAAGGCCCCTCTACAACAGCCTCTTTAGAAACAACAGCTTCCTCTACTTTCCTCCCAAATATCTGGGTATGTGCTGAGATACCCAGGAAAGTTTAAAAAATCTCAAGCTTCATAAACATTAAAAAACTGACAATAACGTCAAACATCAAGGATTCATTCCAGAGAAGGACTTGCTAGCAAAGTTTTCTTAAAAGATGGATCCAACTAGGATGTTTCTGATGGCTTCAAACTCATAACCATAGTCCAAGAAAAGTGTTTTTCAAACCTGTACCAAATTACACAGGACTTCATGGGCTGATTCTTCTATGCTGTCACACAGCTAAAGCCTAACCTCCTTATCCTTTCCTACATTTCCAAATTCTCAAGGCCTGGTAGGTCCACATTATATTGTTGTGGACAGCTCTTTACAAAGCACGGTTGTTTTTGAGATCTATGAGTATGTTACTGAAGTTTACCTTTCATACTGTTCCGGTGCAAAACTACAGGCTCAGCATGGCTTAGGGCAATGAACAGTACAATTATCTTCAGAAGATCTGTACTTCAGAGATATTAAACTAAATACACTAGAGCAACTTTGAAGTTAACTAGAAAGCATCTGTTAAAAGATTACCTGTGTTGCTTCTGCAAGAGAATCTTGGGTCATTTTAGTAAGTTTTCGCAAGTATCTTCCATAAATCACAGCCAGAACAGCCAAGGGTGGCACAACGCTCAGAACAAATGCAGCAAGGCTAGGTGACACAAAAAACTAAAAAGAAAAAGTATTTGTCAGGGGTTAGCATTCAGATTAAAAATAACCCACTGAGTACTGAAGTGCAACTTCCCTCGCTAGAGTTTTCTAAAACTAGTAGGATTGTAATTTAGTGTTGCCATGCTTTCATTTATCATGTTTTATTTCTTCCACGCACAATATCCATTCCCCCACAGCATTTGGGAAATGTATCCCACAGTTAGAACAAAGGATTATAAGCAAAGGGGTCTGGATTTCATTTCTAGCTTTCTCACTGGTTTGCTGTGTGGTCTTAGCCAAGTATCTTAACCTGCCAGTAAACAGGCCTACCAGGAAATCTCCTGGGGATGCTGAAAGACATAAGCTATTATATAGTTTCTAAAGTGCTTTCACAACTTTTAAATAAATGGTGTAATACAGAAAGTTTGAGTAGAGAAATATCGTACACTATTTCTGAATAACCAAGGAACACATGGAGTCACCAGTGCTCCCTAGCACCCACAAATGCTCATAATCTGGAATAATGGATTTATAATGGATATAAATGAATAATGGATGTTGCAAAACCTTATCACTCATAACAATCATCATCAAAGCTCCTACATACGTTCTTTCCATAAGATTTATTGAAATTAGATCTAATGTGTTTTCATTTCATCTTGCTTTCTGTATTGAAAATAGAAAAATCTCCAAGAAAATTCAAAATCGACTTCATTGATAGGCTTTATAATTATTTCATAATAATCTCTTCCTTCTGGGCAAGTCCATTTTTTAACACTGCATCATGGCAGCATTTTTGAGGAGAATGCCTTATATAAAGTTATTCCAGTTTATCTATGGTAAGATAAAACCTTAGACTCTATTTGCTTAGATAAATACAGAAAGCCGTAATTCTTATCAGTGGCAAAGTATTAAAGCTTTAAAGCTTCATAGTGGAAACTCTTAACAGTTTCTAATAACATCAATCTTGGAAGCTTGTTTTTATGAGGAGACTTTTTGCTGTTTGTTTTTAACTCCAGGTATACAGGAGAAATTACCACACTTTCATTTAAGGTAATTGCCACCAACGTATCTTTTCTCAGATAAGCATAAAAAAATTAATGCCACAAAAAACATCAAGGGAAGTCAAATTTTTACATAAACCAACTGACCACCAAGGAATATTAACTGATGCACTGCACTGAAGCATTCATTAACATGCTTCCTACCTAAATATATTCTTTACTGACAGACTAAAGCAGAAGACTAATACTTCTTGTAAAAATCCTCAGCAGTAATTTGATATTCAGTGCTGCCTTTGCTCACCTAGGCCTTAAGCAGAGTCAACCAACTTCAATGACTTTTACATCAGGCCCTTCACACCCTATTTTACCTACAACCATGGGAACGTTATCACTGATTTTAGTATCTTCAGTAAGAATAGAGTTAAGCTATTTGCCTACTATACTTTGCTTGATAAATTCGGGCAGCAACAGCAGTTCATTTCAAACCCTCATTCTCCATATTTTGGCTTTTGAGTAAACATCAAGTGGTTACAGGCACATCATCTATTGCAACGCAGTACATGGATAACCAGTGAAATACACTTGTATCCAAGAACACACAACAGTTTTGAGACTGAATCACATTCACACATTACCTAACAGAACTGAAACAAACTTGAAACTACAAGAAGTGACAGGCAGGGAAGAGAGCACCATACCATCATTCCAACCCCCACAGATGCCTGTGCTCCTGCCCTGAGCCCATCTGAAAGGTTTTCAGTCACTGAACGGCCCAAGAGGGCTGTATCTGAAGATAAGCGGTTTATCAGCTCTCCTGTTCTGGTCTTGTCAAAGAAAGCCATTTCTTGCTTCAGAATAGAGGAGAACATGGTTGTTCTCAAACGTTTCACAATTCGTTGTCCTGTCAGAAACAGAAGTCAGTCAAGCAACAGACAGTGACAATATAAAAATCACAGAATTACGCAGCACTGAACAAGTCACATTACGGAGTTTTAATATACCACAAGATGGTGAGCTTTAAGATGTCACGTAACAGTAAATAAAAACGAACAACTATTTCAGCATACTTACCTTTGTACTATTAGTTTACCTTTGATCTGGTAAAAAAACTTACTGATTCCAAGAGGATCTCTCAGCCAGTGCCAAGAATTTATTTCAGATCATTAGATATCCTGACTTTGTGAAAAAAGATGACTCTCAGTAGCACTTTTTACTTCTGTATTTACCTGCAGTCTGCATGAGGTAGACACGAGTAGCATTAGCAGCAGCACCACATAAAAAGATTCCACTCAGCAAGGCACACAGGCTGGTCAGGCTGTCAGTGAAGTCTTCACTGGGATTTGTATAAATAACGTCAATAACTTTACCCAGAAAGAAAGGGGCTGACATGGTAATGACACTGGAAACTGTCAGAAAGCCAACAGCAGCTGCAAATCAACAAGAACAAGGAAAAGAAAATTATTCTGAATTTGCAAGATCATTAATAGTACAGACGAAATAATCTTTCACTTGAAATTTCTATTAAGCTTGCAAATGTCAGCATTAAATAATCAGCATTCTTTTAGGCCCAGTTCTGAACGGGACATTTTAAGTCACTGCATAAATTAACTTAGGCAAGGCACATTTTAAGATCCTGAAAGCCTTTGTATATAATCACAGCCCTGGAATTGCTTCTCTTGTCTAACCTTCCCCACCACTACCCAAGGAAGTTAACTCGTCACAGATGTCATCCTTAGAGAGCATTCACAGTTAGCAAGTCTTCCACATCTCTCACACAATCCTTCACTCCTGTTTGGTTTGGTTTTTATTATTCATGCTTGCTACCATAATAAAGCTTCCAGCTGTCTATTTCTGAGATAGCAATGGACTGAAGTAAAGATCTGATCTGAGAACTGTCTAAAACATGCAATTTTATTTGGAAAAAAATCCAAACAAACAAAAAACCTCATCTGATTTACTCTTGGCTGACAAAATTTATATACATTTGTTTTGTTTTACTCTTTACTATTGCTGGTCTAAAAGAAAAATAGCGTAAGGTTGAATAGAAGTATGCTTGCTCATGAGCAGAGCTCTTGAATTCCAGTTGCAAGATCACCCATGGAACAACCTGTGTAACTGTTTGAAGCTGTATCACAGAGTATGAAAAATCACACTGGACCAAGACTTAGCCTTTTGAACTTTAATCTGCAAAGAAATTTCCTGAGCCAAGAATGCAGCTTGATTCTGAAAAGGCAAGCCAAGCTTGGAAGGCTGAGAACTAGAAAAAAACCCTCTTAATTGAAAACTGAACAGACTTGATATGAAAACCACTGAACCACAACAAACAATACAGCATAATTTTCCAACAGCCAACCCCACACTTAAAGCAACCATTCAGAGGATTGCTACAAAACTACTAGCAGATAATGCCTTTAAAGACAAAAAGACACTGTACTGAAAATCCTGAAGTTGCCTGAGTTTTAGTTCCATTCTACTGAGCTTCTTGTATCGCTTCTATGATGAAGACAGCAGAGCCTCCCAGCAGCGCACTGCTGTAAGCAATATTTCTAACATCTGTCACAGATGGTTTGATGCCTCTTACCACCTCCACACACATGTGGAAAGCTTTGTTTCAGTTTGTACTTGAAGTGTAAATACAGCTGTGCATTTATGATGAAAAATTCAAGGTACAAAAAATGCATACCTGCACCACCTGAAGCAAACACTTCTCTGCACCTTCACTGCAGTGCCCCAGAGCAGTCCTGGGAGAGCTCCACACACTGCCCAAACAAGCTTTATCCTTGCTGTTTGTGGTGGTTTAACCCCAGCCAGCAACTAAGCCCCACGCAGCCACTCGCTCACTCTCCCCCCACAGCAGGATGAGGAAGAGAATCAGAAGAGTAAAAGTGAGAAAACTCATGGGTTGAGATAAAGACAGTTTAATAAGTAGAGCAAAAGCCATGCATGCAAGCAAAGCAAAGCAAGAAATTCATTCACTACTTCCCATCGGCAGGCAGGTGTTCAGCCATCTCCAGGAAAGCAGGGCTCCATCACGCGTAATGGTTACTTGGGAAGACAAATGCCATGACTCCAAACATCCCCCCCCCGCCTTCATTCTTCTTCCCCCAGCTTTATATACTGAGCATGATGTCATATGGTATGGAATACCCTTTGGCCAGTTTGGGTCAGCTGTCCTGGCTATGCTTCCTCCCAGCTTCTTGAGCACCTGGCAGAGCAGGAGAAGCTGAAAAGTCCTTGACTATGTAAACACTACTTAGCAACAACTAAAACATCAGTGTATTATCAACATTATTCTCATACTAAATCCAAAACACAGCACTATACCAGCTACTAGGAAGAAAATTAACTCTATCCCAGCTGAAACCAGGACACTGTTGTGTCCACCTGCTGCCTGTGGTTCTTATTCAAAATTTGTTTGCAATCTTTCCATTGCGTTACACTTAAGCCAGCAAGCATGTTAAAGATAAAGGACTCAGATCTTTAACTTGAAGCTATAGAAACTATAAGAAGCCAGAGTAGAAAGGGAAAGACTTCCTGCTGCAAACATATATGATCCATGCCAGAGACACATCTCATAAGCATGTTATTTACTAGCTAAAACTTCCTAATGACCTTATTAACAGGCTGGCTGCATTGGTGTATTCAAGCTGTGAATCAGCGGGAAACATCCAACAAAAGCCAGGTCATCTCCTGTCAGGAAAAGCTGGTCTATAAGGCAGTTGGAGATGGTCAAAAGCATTGCTTATAAGCACAGTTCTGCATGGCAGCTCAGTCTCCACTAGTCCAGACGATTTCTCAGTTATGGATGGAACTGCAAAACTGCATATACAAATATTCACTGAAGGAAGAGGACTGTATGGCTAAAAATCCTGTATGTCTCTGTCTGGTGGTACAGCCTTCCTGGCTTGGATTTACCTTCAGCTCTTCTTCATTCAAACTAGCATAGGTTTCACTGTAATTACTTCCAACAGCCTTAACTGAACTAAAAGCAAATACTAGTACATAAAGCAAACGGAAGGCTACCAAACTACTTAAACATTAGACAAAGTTTCAATAGCATATTGGAACAACACAGTCCTGAAGATGAAAGCTTATATAATCCAGATGTCACTTTTAACTTTCCCCTTAAGCAATATACCTGTCTATATTAATTTAATCACAAATCACATGCAAAATAAGGTTCTCTAATTGAAACTCTCACTTCGATTATACCAGCAGAACAACTAGAAAATAGCACAGATGCCAGACTGTTGCTCTTTTTGTTTGTTTGTTTTAAACTGTTGACTAATTGAAGAAATAGGAATCAGCAAACACTCATTCTATCTCCCCATTCAAAGAAAAGCTGTCATTGTGATAACCAACTAAAGGGAGGAGTACGAGGTGTTTCGCAACCAGATATGAAGACACTTCAGTGACACTGAAAGTTGTTACTGCCAGAAAAAAGGTCAGAGTAAACTTTATAGTATTAGTTTCACATAGCTTACTATGTTACTGAGAAAATTATATCAAACAAAAGAGTGTATTTTGGAAGCTTTGTTTTTTAAAGTAAATCTGTTTTGTAGGCTATCAGAGGAAAATAAAGAAAATGTGACGCAGATCAATGGAACTTTTATAAAACCAGGGCTACATCAAAGTGGCAACAGACGCAAAGACAAGGCAAACTGGCTCCAGCAGCAGCTGAGCAGTCCTCTTGGAAATGTTAGGCAAATATTTTACTTGTCTACTTGCACAGAAATCCAGATCGCTGCACACACACAGTGATGCCTTTACCACCATTAATATCAATGTGCTCTCTGTTAAGGCTAACGTGGGCTTGCTTCTTAACAGCAGATCTGCAACTTCATTTCATAGCAGATGTATTCGCGGGCAAGGAATTGGTCACCAACTGATAAACCAGGACATTTACAAGCAATAACTAGGCAGAGCTATCAGAAACCTCTCTTCAGAACAAGGACAAAGTGACTCCAGAGAGTCATAAACGAATTTTCTACATGCAAGAACACCAAGAGAGCAAAAGTTTCTAATTTTGCTGGTCCTTACCAGAGCATCCTTCTCACCCAGTACCGTTTGTAGAAAAGTACACAGCCAAAAAATTGCTTGCAAACCTCTTGGGGGAAGGGCTATTTTATACACAAATACATAAAGATTTGACCTCAGATGAATTAAGATCATTCAAGCCCGTCAGGGATGAAGGACAGAAAAATGAGGTAATGATAATGTTTGGCAGTGCATGGTAACACAGCAACAGGACACAGTACCTAGTTTTTACTATTCAGTAAGGTTATGAATGTTACCTCCCAGAATCTTTTAAGTATTTTACTGGTTTCATTTGAAGATCAGGGCTGGCGGGTCAGAAAGCAAGCTTTGGATTTGTGAGAAGTACCCTTCTACCAGTAACTGAGAATGTCTGTCTTTTACCAGTTATCTGTGCAGTTTCATTCTAACACACAGTGACTTTTTTAGCTTAACACTGAATTTCCACAAGGGCATCTGGAGTGACAAATGAAGTCTACTGTATTCTATGATGCGCATGCACGAGGATCGGGCTCTTCCGTTGTTCTTTTACGGTAGAAAGATGCACTGATAAATTTTATATTTGTTGGTTAGGTAAAGTCCACTTCCATTTGGTGAATCCTGGCCCACAAGGAATTTGTTTTGGACTGGCTGAAAGACTGGCACCAACCCTAAGAAAAGTCAGTTCTGCAAATATTTATTTCAAGACAGAATCTTCTTCCGAGTACACTATAAGCACTTAAGAATGGTCTGTATAGTTCTAGGTTAGGCATGACTGCTGTGGTTTTCTTTCTGTGTTAAAGTAAATTCATACATGATATCTGGACTGCACCTATTATTATGCAAGAAGAACCTTTTAGAATCATCCTCCTTATGTTACTAAGAACGTAATTGTAATATTGTGCTCTGAAAAAAAATACAGTGTGTGTCTGACAGCATTGTCGTATACCGCATTCCTGGTGCATTTTGGAAAGCTGCTAGTTTTTTGAGTGGAGTTGTATTAATTTGCAGGTATTGTCAATATACTGAATCTTGCATGTTACTATTTCCAGTAATGATCATGGTTTTTAGAAAATGTTTATAGGAGTATTCGACAGACAGTTTGATGTGGTTATTGAATCTGTGGTGGTTTTTCTTTTCTTTTGTTATTTTTTTAAGCATGAAAGAGTAGTTCAGGTTTCCAGATGGCAAGAACTGTTTTCTTTGGTACAACAACAATACAGTTGCACAACTTACTGAATATATCTTCAAGACAGCTCATGAAAAGGCTGGCATACTGTGGGTCTGACTGACCAGGATTATACAACAGTTTGGAGAAATTAACAGTTGCAGAAAATTGCTGTGGGACAGAATTAAAGAAGAGAGACAGGCAATACCTTTGAGATAGTATCTCAAGAACAAGATGGGTGGCCAGGGTTTGGAGGGCACAGCGAGATACCAGCACAGAAGCGAGCCCCAGAGTATCGGCTGGTGGCATCCCTCGCACTCAGAACATTTACACGACGAAACTTACAGAAGTCTATCACCTTGAAGAAAGCTCTTTGAGTCATGAGGTGTTCAGGATTGACAGAAATCACCCTCAGTAGCTCCTCAGTGAGGCTCCTATGATCAAACAGGACAGACCTGCCAGGACTCCTTTGCTATGGAGCAAACAAAACATCAAGAAGCCTTTGCAGAGTAGGCTATAGAGGGTTCGTCAGAAGAGCTTTCAGAAAAGATATTTAACGGGAGAAGTGTCCTTCCAGGCCGAGCAGAACACGGTGATTTGAGGAAGCCCAAGCAAGGGAAGAGCAAGTAAGACTGCTGCTTTGCACAGGAGAGAAGGAGGAAGAGGTAGCAAGGCACACAGCCTGACGGAAGGCCTATGCAGAGCTGTGCAAAAGCTCCGCTTGAAAGCAAAGATGGAGGCTTGACTCTGACTGTAAGCAAGTATCTTCACTTTCTCTTAAGAAAGATGGTATCTATTTTACAATTTGTTATTATCAATACAAACAGTACCACAAGCTAGTCTTTTTAAGACACCGAAAACCAAGAGAGTACAACTTCTTTTTATTTAAAATTAAAGCATTTAACTCGTTCATATTTATCTTGTGTAGAAGACAGTCTTTATATCAGACCGATCGAGCTATAATTCCTTCTAGCTTCAAAATTTACACAAATAGTGCAGCAAAAAAATTCCCCAGAGAAATTAAGTTGTAAGCACCCAACTGATCACAGTGGTCAGCAGCTACTGTTTCTGCAATGTCTTACCTAAATAGCTTCATTAACAGTTCACCAACAATTTGAAATAAGGAACTGTCACCAACTACCCACAGAAAAGCAAACTTTTTGTGACCTTTTGTAAGCTTCAAACACCAATAAAATCAGAAGAAAAAGTAGGGGGGGAAACAACAAAAAAAGCCATGTAGCCTATTTGATTTCTACAAAAGGCACGCTGCACATGAGAAAACAGTAAGTTGCAAAAATCAGTAAGTTACTCCTGTATATACTGTACATATAGGAATTATGATTTTAAAACCACAAGAATTGCCTTCAGAAAATTCAAGTTAAGTGTGGTTTTGAGTTGCTTTTAGATGAACAGAACCACTTTACAGTAACTCAATACAGTAACAAAAAACAGTGGCCATGTATGTGGACTTGGAGGTGAACCCAAATTTTGGCCGGGAATGTCCCAGCTACTGGGTGACAGCACAGAAACAGCAAGATTTACAAGACTGGGGTTCAAACCCCCTTCCAAAGAGAAGGGTATTCTAGTGCCTGTAAGCCCCTCTGCTCCCATTATGCACACTACAGAATTAATTTGACTCGCTGTCAAGGTTTGAATGGGTGTATGAAAACTCATTTTTCAGAGAGATGCCACTTGTCTGATTTTTAATTAAATTTTTAAATGGAGGGAGGAAAAGCATATCCTTAACAGTGCATAGATTGCCTGCTGATGTTCAAACTCATGCTACAAAGCTTGGAAGAGCAGAAGTTTCAAAATTAAACCATTTAAATGTTACTACAAACTAAACACATATTATCTGCCTGATTTAATTTCCTAAAATAACTGAAGTTTTCAAAGATACTCCTACTCAAGTACTTAAGAAATGTCAGCTTGTATAAGTATAAATAATCAAAAGCATGACTTTCTAGTAGCAATACTCACAGCTGATGTGTTCTACATTTCTATCTGCATCTTGTACAAAAAAAAAAATCAAGTTGCTCACTACCTCAATCATCCCCAATCAAAAGAATTATTAAAATAGTTTCTGAACTACATTACAAAGAATATACCTAAAAAATTCAGGTAGTCTTAGGTATAACATTTTTTTTTTAATTGCCTTTATTTAAGAATTGTTTTTATAGGGATTTATTCCTTATTAGAAACCACAAAAGATAAATCTACAGCAATCCAGTATTGCTCATTCAAGAATGAGAAAGTGCATCACCTGGTGTAACTTCAAAGTACAGAAAAGTCAGACTATGAATAAGGCAATGCTCTTCTGATTTCATGGCAAATTCTAACTTATAGGAAAACAGCTATTACAAATTATGCCCAAAATTCTAAAATAAAACTGATGAAATAACATTTCTCGCACATCTCTAGAGAAGACCTGCATACAAAACAAACATTCTTACTTTGACTCAGTGCACAGTAAGTCTTATGCAGGGAAAGGGCACACTTTGCTATTGGATTAACATTTCAGAGTTCCTTGTGCTTACTTTGCAATTCAATGGAACTATTGTTTCCTTCGAGTGTGGTTTGTATAAAGTGCAACAGACAGTTTCTCACAGGGAGAAACAAGAAGGCAGGAGGAAATAAAAGCGATCATTTTAAAAAGGCATTTTTGTGGCCTTGCACACACAGCAGGATTTAATAATTTCAACAATGGCCCTGTCCTCTTCCCTGGGAATTGAATTTAACTGAAGACACAGGTTTACCTGACCTGACTGCACAGGATGAGTCAAAAAATTCCTAAAATTACTTCCCTCCTTTGTTAAATCTGGTAGGTATTACAGAATTTACAAACTCCTAATTTCACTACACAAAAACGTGGCCACTAACAGAATGAATTCCCATCATGGTATTTAGCCATCTTTTTGCCACTTTTAATAAGAACAATAAAATTTAACACACACGTCCTGTTTAAAATATATTCACAGCTCTACTCAGCTCTAAAAGTAACTGAAGATGAAACATGGAACATATTACACCGATCCTTTTTTTTTTTGACAGTACGATATTTGGTACATTTACTTTCATTCCTAAGAGCCTACGGAGGGTCAGAACCTCCTTCTGCGAGAAGAGCATTGCAAGAGGTGCTGCATGCCAGTGCACTGGAACTCCTGGCCAGAGCACGCTGCTTCTTCCTGAGCCAGCAGATGGTGAAGAGGCCCTGCGTAAAACAAGATGCGACTGTCTCTTTTGGTGCCAGTCACAACCGGAGCAGGTCACCTTCACCTCTGTACCTCCACCTCCTCAGCTGACACTATTTCCCCACCGCACCAAGATGCGTGATCGTAGTCTTGCTCAACTTCCTCACAAATCATCATCCTCGGCTCCCCAGGCCTCCACTGTCATCATTGCATCCACTTCCTCTTCTGTGCCCGTGAATTTCAATGCACAACTGCAACGAGCAGAGTATCATGACCCGTGCCATGTGGAATCACAAAAAAGGAATGTATTGCTTCACTCCACAGTGGTAATGCTATACACCTATGTTACCGACTACTGGTTATATAAAATGCAAAAGATCTGGAAGAGCTCAACTTTCTTGCAAAACAAAACTGCACCTGTAAAGCCTCTGAAGAGATCCCACAGCATTTGTTTAACATTTATATGGACTTGAAGAGGAAATTGAATGTTTTACCCTAGTTCATTGTTTCATACAGTAACCATGGTTAATTTAAACCATTAACCTTCCTCTTTCTTTCAATGCAGGAAAAAGAGAGATACTGAACTTTTAAGGACTAGTTTCTCAGTACAAAGATGCAACAGGAACAAAACGCAACATATTTTAACATATTTTAGATACAATGGGCAGATGTGATAATCTACAAGGCATTTTACCCATATTTGTTATTCCCGCACTCTGTAATGACCTAGAGTATTTTCCTTGTTGGCTTTTTCATCCTCCCACTTAATTACAACTTAACAACAAAAGTTTTCCCTTAAGTAGGGTGTCTAATAAAGACGAAAAAATTTACATAGGTTTACTCCTCTCCCAGAACCAAGACCAACAGGACATTGAAGAGCAGTTATTACATTTGCGTATTTTTTCCACCCTCATGATTTGATATTATCAAGTTGTTATGTTGTGGGGTTTTTTAAACTTTAATTCAGGCCATTTTGTAATCTTGAAAGACAAAACTGCATGAAGCTGATTTTTACTAACTGTGCTAGTCGATAGATAGTTAGATAAAACCATCAGCAGACTGCACAGATTACGGACACTTAGCCCTATTTTAAAACACAAACAAGTATATCGTACCCTGCCTGTGATAAACAAGCCCACAGCAAGTGCCCAGTAATGGGAACTAAATTAAGTTCTCAGTTAGTTAGGAGCCTTTGGCTCCTAAAAGCCATCCTTAAAATAACTGATTTATTTATTTGCTTTAATTTCAATGGGAAAAACAAAGAACTTTGTTGTAAAATCAGCAGGTAATCTATCTGATCACTTCCTCACCAAAATCTGAATAGACTGAACATTAGTTACTGGCAAAGGCCTTTTTACTTTTTAGTCCATAAGCCAATGAAGAAAAATAATCCTAAGCATTATACCCTTTTCCTTCTCCATCCAGCCCTGTCCCATCAATTTTCCCCTGCTTTTATTCTGCACAACCAAGATAGTGGTATTAGCTGCATAAAACAGGTGTTCACAGCATAGAAATACTTCTAATTTCTTATAAAAATTCATTTGGATCCAAATTATTTTGGCTATGTAATGCCAGCATGTAACGAAGCTCTGTAACTATCCACTGTGAATAAAATCTTGTACAAAGTATTTCGTATTTCTCAAAACTACCTCTTTATGTAAGTCTACCTCCCTCACCTCTTTTCTCTCGAACACCATTTACCCATTCCATGGGAACTACCCAAGTTTTTGCAAAGGCCTACAGGCCTCACGCTGCCATGATAGCACATACGCTGTCCACTGATAAAGGTGGTTTTAAAAAAACCAAACCACATAATAATTTGATATTGTTTTCTTACTAACAACTATTACCCTATTATCCCCATGAGAAGCAATGCCAAGAAAAGTTTGTTTCTACTCTTTATAGATAGCATCATTCTGTTAAGGATGCAATTTATACAACCATGGTGTTTGACTTCACCATACAGACACTAACAATGAATAAATAAATCGTTTTCAAAACAACTTTAAAAAGTTCTAGGCAAGAAATTCTTGGGAGACAGAACTCCAATTTATCGAATACATTTTTTAAAAAAGCTTAGGATGCTCTTTTTTACTTCATTCCACGTAGTCTCAGGCCCAAGTTTATTGGAGGCTGTTTGTGAAGGCAGCATTGAACATGCAGAGAGGCATTAACCAACACTACTAGCAAA